ACCTCATAATTCTGCCCACAAGATCAGCTTCCTGGTCATTACTGTGTAAGGATTTTATAATAATAATAATAATATCTTGTCTTTATTCATCATATGCAGGAAAACAAAAAATAAACAAATATAATCCATTGAAGATCCCATATTCTGTCTGCAAATGCTGAATAGGCGGAGTATTAGCAAAAAGCTGTTTTTCAACTCAACAAAAAAGTACAAAAGAGGTTTTCGTGGATTACCACATTAGTTACTAATGATGATAACAACAATGACGACAATACTAATAATGACAACAATAACAATAATAATGATAATATCAATAACAACAATGACAATAATAATATAGTGACAGCAGTGATAATAATTATGATAGTAATAATAAGGAGATTTAGAGACCAATCGAACACAAAGACATGCAGAACAAATGATACCCGAAAAGTCCCCGGGCAACCACAAAATGATAATAATAAAAAAAAATGTTGGCATAACAATAATAATGTTAATAATTACTATAGAAATAAAAATAACAATTTTGATAATGATAACAATGAATGAGAATCTATTAGATTAGGGGATAGACTAAATATTTATATAAATGGAAATCAAGTTGGGATAGCAGAATTGACAATCAATTATGGACCTACCTGGACGAAATATAATTCTTCAATCTCTTATTGAAGTTATTCAGAGTGTAAGATCTAAACTCTCTAGGAAGCTCAGTATAACATTTGCTTGCATTGTACGAAAATTTACGTTTGAATGTTGAAGTGTTATGTCTTGGAATGACAAGGGTAGATTTGTTACGGCTTGATATTTGGTTAATGAATGAAAAGGTTTTCAGTCGTTTCGATAAATAATCTGGTTTTCCAGTTTTCAAGACTTTATGCACTTGCATCAGGAGATGTAAATGTCTCAATTGTTCTAGTCGTAACCAACCAGAGGATTTCAACTTAGCAGAGATGTGATCATATTTACGCACCCCATAAGAAAACCGCAAACATAAATTTTGTATCCGTTGTAATCGATGAGAATCAGTTTTTAATAATGCTGGACCATATATACTATCGCAATATGATAATTTTGAGAATATCAAAGACTCGCAAACTTTGAGTTTCAGCTTAGAAGAAAGAATATCACTATTAGGATATAGTTGCCTCAATATATTGTATGAAGATTGGCATAAAAAACTAGTATGAATTGTGAATCTCAAATCGGAGTCCAACCAAAATCCTAGATTCTTGTCTGCTTTCACAATGGAAAGAACATCAGTGCCAATGCTGATTTGCAGCTGCTCAGCTGCGGACTCTCTGACTTCCTTATGGCCAAATAACATCACCGTAGATTTTTTAGAATTTAGCTTCAAATTATGTGCACACGAAATGTCAAACAAAGATTTCAATTCATCATTCATTGAGGCTTGTGATTGCTGCAAATCAGGAGGTAAGAATGGAAGATGAATCTGGGTATCATCTGCATAGTGATGAATTGTACAATTACTAATGGAGTTATGGAAATCAGATATATATGAGGAAAAAAGTAACGGACCCAAAATTGATCCTTGTGGTACTCCAAAGAATACTGAAAATTCCTCAGACATCTTTCTTCTGCGAAGTATATCATGGTCTAGGGTGTCGAAAGCCTTACAGAAATCCAACAGCACCGGACAGACAATTTTTTGATATACAGTGTGTCCATTTAGTGCGTAATTCTTCGATATCTCGAAAGCCATAACCAATAGAGAAAAACTTTGGGGAAAAAACTTTTTCATTTAATGAAGTTCCTCATTTCAAAAATATTTTCAACATAACTGGGTGTTTTATAAAAGCGGGGCAACTGGAAGAAGAGTTTTTTTAAATGGAACACCCAGTATTGTTTAATCGGAATGAATTTCGTCGAGGTTCACATTCACATCGCTGCAAAAAAAATTGAAATCGGTTACGGCGTTGCCAAGTTATAATGGATAAATCTATTTTTACCATTATTGAAGAGTCATGTTGAATTGGTCATGGTATATTCATTTATTCAAATTTTGAAAATATTTTTGGCATGCGGCAAAAGCAAGGTCCCACGTAAACCAATCCAGTAATTTTGCGACTTGTTCTTCAACAGGGTGCTCAATTTTGCATTTGAAATTTTGCAAGATTCAGATGACATTCATCAGAATTTTTCAAATGGAACACCCTGTATTTTGATTCGAAAATTCATTCCGACATCTTTGGCCTTTTTATCGCTGAATAAAAAATCGAAATCGATTGCGGCGTTGTCGAGTTATGGATAATTTCCTTATTTTTACTACTATTTCGGGGTAATTTGTACGTCATAGTTCTTTCATTTATTTGTATTGTGGAAATATTGCGTTGCTGAGGTATTATCAAATTTGTTCATTGACCATTCATATATTTTTTTACAATAGGAACATTAACAGGCTCTCCAAGTTTGAATTTTTTTCGAATTACACTCATATTTGTGTAATGACCTGTCAAACATCGCCACAATCAAATATATCTTGGATTGATTCGAAGTTTTGCTGAATTCCCTCCCAAAAGCCGCGTATAGTAGAGACATATTGTTTGTATCATTATTTTTACCTCCTTCAAGGTAAATGGAGATTTGGATTGTGGGAATAACGACAATAAAAATAGCCCAGATTTCAAAAAATTGTCCTAATTTTCGCAATCCGCATCTTCATTGTTTGTATTGTTGAAGTTGTTTCAAAGACAGGCGTTGCTTTTGGCATGTTTGTTTGTTCCACATATTATTCAAATCATAAGTAACAAGATAACGGAATATTTCAAATTTGGACGATGCACATATCGCAAAAATACCTGAATGATCTATGTAGAACTTCGAATGTTATGTGGCAAGCAATATTCCCACACTCAAATCAAATAAAGGAACCATCATGACGTACAAATCACCCCGAAATAGTAGTAAAAATAGGGAAATTACTCATAACTTGAAAACGCCGCAACCGATTTTGATTTTTCCTTCAGCGATGAAAAGGCGAACGATGTCGAAATGAATCTGTGATGAAAAATACAGGGAGTTCCATTTGAAAAATTCTCATGATCGTCGTCTGATTCTAACAATATTCAGAATGTAAATTTCAGCACCCTATGAAGGATTATCTCGCAAGAAAACTGGATTGGTATACGTGAGACCTTGCTACTACTGTATGCCAAAAGTATTTTCGAAATTTCGATAAATAAATATACCATACTCAATTGAAAATGACCCTTCAATAGTAGTAAAACTGGGTTTATCAATTATAACTTGGCAACGCCGCAACCGAATTCAATTTTTTTTACAGCGATGTAGAGCTGAACCTTAGCGGAATAAATTTCGGATGAACAATACTGGGTGTTCCATTTAAAAAAACTCGTCTGCGAGTTGCCCCGCTTTTATAAAACACCCAGTATTGTTGGAAATATTTTTGAAATGAGCAACTTTAGTAACTGGAAAAGTTTTTTCTCCAAAGTTTTTCTCTTGTGATAACTGATTTGGAGATATCGAAGAATTACGCACTGAATGGACACACTGTATATCGCGCTAAAAATGTCCTCTGTAATTGAAAGGAGGGCTGTCGTAGTACTAGTCTTGTGATCTGAATCCTGATTGGACTGACGTAATGATCTTATGTTGTTCTATGAAGACATTCATTTGATCTTTCAGAATCATTTCGAAAACTTTAGATAATTTAGGAAGAATGCTTGTCGGCCTGAGATCTGAGAGTTCAGAAGGTTTGTTGCATTTTGCCAGAGGTATCATTAGAGCTCGTTCCCAAGCAGAAGGATAGGACCCTGTAGTGATAATAGCATTGAAAATGAAAGTAATATGATCAACATTTTGATAGAGATATCATCTGATCCGACTGCATTGCTCTTGATACGAAGCATATACTTTCTAACCACTTGAGTTGAAATTGTGAGAAATCGAAAATGATTCTCTATCACATTATCGTATCGGTCGAGTAAGGATAATTGAAAGTTTGTGTTTTCAGGGTAGGTATTACTACTGAAATGACGATTGATGCAATCGACTTTCCTCAGTTCTAAGGGAATTTCAGGGCTAGTTTTCTTCCGTAAGATATTAAGAGATCAAAGAGTGTTCCAAGTTGACTTTGAATTTTCGACCTAGAGTTTTTTTTATAACTGCTAGTCTGTAGATGATTTCTAATTGTTCTTCTGGGAACATTATATCTCTTAGCGGCTTTGTATGTGCTCAGCCTTCCACTTTGTACTACTCTAATAGCCGACGACAAGTCTTTTCCAGACCACAATGCTCGTTTGGGAGCCATCGTTGTTGCATTCACTGTAAATAACGATGAATCAACTGGTAAACAGTTGTAATTACCTATTTACATTCCTAATATTTTGAAAAAGTCATAAAATAATCTGTAAAACAGACAAATGCTGTTACAGAAAAAGAGAATAATAAGGCCTACGGCCCAATTTGGTAGGCCTTAATAACCTCCAACAACGTGTGTAAAGAAAATCTGAAAAAACATTATTCGGAGCTTGACATATTATTCGAACATCAAAAATCGCATAACCATGACATACTAGAAACTATAACGCAGATTTATATTAATAAGTGTAATATTACAAATAATACGTACGTTTGGTTTGAACGAATTCCTATTATTCAAGCCACACGCCCACTACTCTTGACTACGAATGACACCGCACTGGTCTTAGCGACCAAACACATTGCGGTTAATTTCAGGCGCTATTTATGATAGTTAGCGACCTGTTAGTGTGACCTTGACCAACACCGACTATTTTAAATTGCATTTTCATCATTTAGGCCTTATTAGCCGACAGGCCTTATTACCCTTATTACTATTACCTTAGGTGAAGTAAATCATATTTATAAAAATCTGGAGCATGAGCTATCGGAAACTAGTACCAGTAGCCTCTGTCCGAGAAGCACCAATGTATGGGCCGCAGAAATCAAGCATCTGACAATAAAATCTACATATTGTTACGCTGTTATTTCCTTTTCAGGTCGCCGTATGGAACGAGGTGGAAGGCAACCCGAAGCTGATAACGGCGGCGAATTTCTGCCAGAATGGCAAATTTGCCGTGGTCGGCACCTACGACGGCCGCTGCATCTTCTACATCACCGACCAGCTGAAGTACCACACACAGATCCACGTGCGCTCGTCCAGAGGCAGGAACGCGGTCGGGAGAAAAATCAGCGGCATCGAGCCGATGCCCGGGGAGGACAAGATTCTGGTCACGTCGAACGACAGCAGGATCAGGTAAAGGCGACTAAATTCAAGATAATAATTTATCGAAAACTGGAACGTTTTGCACGTTTATCACACCACATTGTTTAACCACTATCCGTTTTTTTAAACGTTTTGACATGTGTTTCGTTGAATATTTTAGCAACTTCAGGATAAGATTAAAACTAAATATTCCGTTCTAGAATACTTCTTATACAGGGTATATCTTCATGATTTAACCCGATCTACATATACAGGCTGATTCACGGTGGAAGGCAAGTTAGACGTTTCTGGAGAACGTAATTTGGGATTCTGCTGAAAATTTGGTGCCTTGGATAATTAACTGTGCTCTATCGACCCAAAATATTGTGTGAAAAATCGAGATTTTTCAACTTCAAGAAATTTTTGTGTCGAAACTTCATTATTGATCAAAACGATTTCCATGTCTCTATCTTTACTTTTTATGAACTATCAATTGATATTCAATTGAAATAGATACAGGGTGGTAAAAATTCTTTATTCTGAACTTCCCTGTATTTATTTCAATTATGAATTGATAGTGAATAAAATGTTGGGATAGGAACATGAAAACCGTTTTGACCAATTATGAATAGTTTCGACACAAAAAAATCCTGAAGTTGAAAAATCTTGATTATTCACAACCTATAACTCTGTATATATCACTGCTAGACCTCCAAGATAGGTCAATAAGATCAACTCTTCAGGGAGAATCTGAAAATGGAATAATATACAGGGTGTTCCATTTAAATAATCAAAGTTGTTGCTATTTTTCAATATAAGCGGCAACGTCGCAACACTGAGAATATTTTAGGTCAATAGAACACAACTAATTATCCAAGGCACCAACTTTTCAGAATAATCCGGAGTTGCGTTCTCCAGGAACGTCTAATGTGCCATCCACCGTGAATCAGCCTGATGTAGAACTAAAAGTAACACAATTTTGAAAATTCATAGGGACAGTAAAGGAAACATAGATAATCCAACTGAAATATTATCATCCTCAAACTTCAGGGACTTGGCGTGGCCCCGTAGGCACGTTTCAAACTTGTACTCACAAAATGCGAAAAAAATACAATTCCACCCCAAATGCTCACCGGAAAATAATCTACCACGTTTGCTCATGCATCAAGTTAACATTTATAATTTCATTGGATAGGTTACTCATTAAATATTATATATACTCAAGCGAAGGCAAAGGTTTTGACAATCAGGAATTATCAAATTGTTAATATTTTCCAGGTTTTAGAGTTTTGAATTTTCTAACAAGTGAAATTCACCTAGAATCGTTTCAGTTACTTGACTAATTCCAAAAGCCAATCTAGTAATAAAGCTAGCTCAAAACCACTTCATTATAATGGAAAGCACTAATATGAAATCACTAGTATTCAATTTTTATCAAAACCACGAATTTTATCTATAGTACCCTTTACCAAATTGCATACTCAAACCTTCATTTTTTCATTGCCATTAGTTATAAATATATGTGTTTTCTCACTCCTGCTTATATGCTAATTCAGGTTGTACTTGCGGGAATTGATCGTATTCTGCAGATACAAGGGCTACGTGAACACAAGCAGTCAGAACAAAGCGAGAACAGGAACCAACCATGACTACTTCAAGAATTCGTTTTTTTGATTGACTATCACAGAAAATAGACAGATAAAGTGTCGCCATCAATTAGCCCTTGTATTAAAATAAACAATATTAACTTTTTATTCAATTTCAAGTCAAGGATTTTTATAGCTAATAAATAATATTACCAATACACAAATGAGAATGTATATAGCACCCTGTAACTCAGTCAATAGGTCACGTGCACGATGACCGACCCTGGAGGTGAAACATTGAAACAACTCCAATTCTCAAAAAGTGGTTTGATAATAATTTATTGAATACTGTCTGTAGGTTAATTAAGGAGGTGGTACATTCATTTCACTTGATTATTCGGGAGTTTCTCTCATCGTTTTTATAAAATAATAATATGAGTATCATTTCAATATATTTGTAGGACAAACCAGATGATTTGCCCCAAAATGTCACTGCGTTTAAAAATTTCAGGGAGCCTAAAAGAAGATGCTAATAGCTTGTCAGTGACACTTTGTTAAAAAAAATGTTTGAAGAGAAGAAATATAGATATATTGGACGTTTTGGGAACGAATCTGCGCCCGTTTTCAACATAAAAATGCACATTATTTTTCTTCGAGAATGTTTTTCTTATAGTTTGAAACCTCTCAGTGACATACTGATGTTGGCATATGGACTAGTGATGATGTTAGTATACAAATGAGTGGAATAATATTAAAATCATAGAAAAGGAAGATAACAATCAAAAGAGAAAAATCAAGGAATCCGCTTTCATTCTTCTAAACGGAGACAATGGTACTGCTTCCTGTTCAATTGATAAAGATCGAACATGGTAGTCACTATTGAAAACTGAGCATGAAAATGATAGATTCAAGATCAATTGATAAAATACATTCTGTAACTCATTTGTATACTAACATTATCACTCATCCATATGCCAACATTATACAACAAGTTATACTCCGTAAGGTTTTCTTTGTTTAATAAACACTGATATGTATACTTTCAATCCACATTATGTCAACATTTTCAATAAACTTTATTATTATTATTATTATGGATTATCAAATGAATACAATTTCTAATATTCGCAATGGTATTTCAATATGGCAACTGTGCTATTGTCTGCGTCTTTTCACGATATAATGTCATCAGTTACGGTAAATTTTTAGCAATTTGAATATTACCGTAGCATTATTGATAACTTTAGGACCTCAAAATCTATAAAAATATGGAGTTGAAGGTAGTTGAGTGATGATTAAATATAAGATAACACAACTATTTCATGTCGAATGTGAGATTTTAGCTTCACTATATTCTATACAGGTTGTACGATTTGCGGGACTTGAATGTATCTTGCAAATACAAGGGCTACGTGAACACGAGCAGTCAGATCAAGGCGAGCTTCAGTCACGACGGCAAGTACATAATCAGCGGATCGGAGAACAGGGACATATACATATGGAAGACCAACCACGACTACTCCAAGTTCTCGTCGGCGAGGAGGGACAGGAACGACTATTGGGAGGCCGTGAAGGCACACAACGCGGTAGTAACTTGCGCCATCTTTGCGCCTAACCCCGAAGCTATCATCGGGATGCTCGAGGAGAATGCCAGACAGATAGAGGAAGAGAAGGTATGTTGTGTTCAGGGACGCGTCAAGTTATGCGGCCTCCTGTGTTCAATAACTATTTTTATAAAGAGAGAGGAAAGTGCTACTTTTCCTCCGGAGGATAAAGTTTACTATCCGACGCGTAGCGGAGGGCAGTAATCATTCAAGGGAGGAAAAGGCACTTCACCCCCATGTTAAACATGTTTTTATTCAATAATCTATTCATGAAACTAACAAACAATTATTATTTATGCAACAAGGTACTGAATATTATCAGTATTAACAGGGACCAAGATTATATCCCGAGGCTTCAGCCGATAAGGTCCCGTGGTAATATTATTCTTTAGTACCAAGGTGTATATTTGTTTTCTTTCGCCACTTGCAGAACATTCTAATCATTGTGGTTCTGTGAAACGAAAATATGAACCTATTGTTACTATGAAAGCACTCCTTTTCAATTCTAATTCAAACCTATAGTAGCAATTACCATGCCCATAACAGCATATGACGTGTTTCATAAATACTTACCAGATTCAAGTGCAATTTTTATGAATCACGCATCAGACCAGTGAATTCTGGTTAATTATAACAGAGGTGGCTGTGTCTTGACTAGTGGTTCATGAAATGACGAGAAGTACCATGGTAGTAAAAACACACTTTTTGCCTCGAAAAGGAGTAAATAACGGTAGGTTTTATAACTAGTGGTGGAAAAAAATTATAAAAGAACTAAAACTAAGAACTTGGTACAGTATAACTTATAGTCACGTTATTTTAATTTTGGCTTCCTACATATTTTGAATTCGTTGAACAGATACAGGGGTGATCAGAATTCTGAATCTCAAACCACCCTTTATCTGTTCCAATCGAATGTAGATAGTATATTGAAAGTTAAGATAAGGACATGTAAGCTATGTTGACCAATAATCAAGGTTGTCTTAAACTATACTGGGGCCCATGGGCACACAAGAATTTAGGTCCTTCCTGAAAACTATAAAGATAGAGAATTATACTAACATTTCTATAAAATGATCTTCTATTTGTTAAGAGTAATCAAATGTACAATATAATATGTCATTGATGATATTACAAAAATTCTGACGGTGGCGCTGTTCGGTACTGTGTTGGACAAAAATATGAATGTGAGAGAAATTGTCGGTCCTTCGGGCGCCCCTGAGAATGGGAGGACCTGGGCACAGGCCCCGTGTGTCCTAATGGTAAAGACGGTATAGCCAATAATAAATAAATTGGACACAAAAAAATCATGAATTCGAAAAAATCTCTATTTTGAACACCCTATATTTTTGTAACAATTTTTGCTAGACCCCAAGTGTTATGAATTCATGGAATCAGCTCTTTAGGAAGAATCTAAGAAATGCAATGATATTCTGGATATTCAAATTGAAACATAGCAACTCTGATACATTTTGTGCTTTTGGCACCCCTGTAGAACATGAAAATAGAGCAATTCGTATGGCATTTTGTCTGATATCTTTCTGAATCTGATAAAATTTTTCCAGAAAAGTGTTCAAAAAGTGGACTTTTTTGACATATTACAAGAAAATGAATTTTTCCCAAGTACGGATATGTACTTTTTTCCATAATATGCCATCTTGAATAGTTTCAATAGGGAAACTTTGATGCCAAACTTCAGTCAATTACGATGAATCATTTCTGAAATGTTGTCAATCAAAATTATATGAAAATTTTACTACCCTGTATTCTCGTTATGCATGGCCAAAACAATTTGTCGTATATGTATACAGAGGTGTGCACAAAAAAACGGCCAGAGCTGTAACTTCTGAATCATTGGAGATAAAAATATAAAATTTGGTGGGTACCAACTTTACTATACTGTTCATTTATTGACGAAAACAAATTTTATTCCATCACTTCCGGTCAAACCGGATTAACCGGAAGTGGTCCCAACTTTTGATTTTCAAATGGAATCTCTTGTATATTTTTCCATTTTTTGATTCAGGGTATCATTCTACAGATACAAGCAGTTTTCTTGGATCAAAATGTCAAAAGGATTATTTTTGATTGGTGTTCATTTCCAAGCGCCCATCAATTGATAATTTAGAAATCAAGATCTAGGTAGCCTATAGTAAGTCAATTTCAATGTGAGTGACATCCAATAAAAAGTTTCAATACGGCTGATGATATGCTCTATTGTAAAAAAAATGAATAGTAAAGAGTTGAAGGATAGGTTGAAAGGGAAAATATACTGTAAATTATGGACTGAAACATTTCGGTTGCATTTTGTATGAAAATCAACAAAATGAACTCCACATCTATTTTTTTCATTTTCAGTAGAATCAAAAATTTGAAAAAATCATTAGAATAAATGTTCAAATTGACCTCCATTTTGTGTAATGGATTGCTGGCACCTTCTAGTTACACTAAAAGTTGTGTTGCGTAAAAATGGGGTACATTCCGACAAGCCTCGGATATTCGAAGCCTAAGGGTTTTTATATTCTCTTGTTGAAATGAATAAACTTGATCCTTCAAGTAACCCCAGAAGAAGAAATCCATAACTGTCAAATCTGGACTGTGAGCTGGCCACCGAATCGGTCAATTTGTTCCTATTCACCTTTCTCCAAAGTGTGTATTCAAATAAGTCACATTCGAATGCGTATAGTGAGGTGGTACTCCATCTTGTTGGAAAATGACTTCATTCAGATCGGCAAGCGGAAGTTGATCCAGAAAATTTTCAATGTTACCAGAAAGCAATTCCAAATACTCATACTGGTCTAAAGAACCGTTGATAAAAAAAGGGCCTATCAAACTATCATCAAGAATTCTGCACCATACATTCAAGCTAAATCTTGTTTGAAAGTTGCTTTCTACAGTATCTTCGGGATTTTCCTGTGACCAATATCTATGATTTCGTCTATTGAAAATACCATTTCGCCGGAATGAGCATTCGTCTGACTCCATTATTTTTCAAAAACATGCAGGATCTTGATTCAACCTATTCAAGAAAATATTGCAGAAATGTGTCCTACGTTCTCTGTAATTATCTTGTTCTAAGGCGTGAATTTTGCGAGGAATGTTTGGCGAAAACTTTTTTTTCTTATTTTCAAAATAGAAAGAACTGTTTTTCGTGACATACCAAAATTTTTTTCAATCTTATTTGAAGATGTTCTGGGCGTTTCTTGTATGCTAAGTAGAACATTCAATTCCAAATCTGCATCAAACTCTCGCTGTTGTTCATTTGATTTTTCGAAACTACCAAATTACCAAATTAACGTAGGCAAGCTTACAATCTGCCAAATTTTTGGTGGCTAGGAAGATTGCTATCCGAATATCTGTTTCTATACACACGAGCATCATTGTGCGAATTTTTCAATCATTCAAAACATTCATAAAATAGAAAATATCACCCGTGTTGAAACTTTTTATTGAATATCACTGTCACATTGAAATTGACTTACTAGGCTACCTAGATCTTGATAACTATTGCCAAATTGATGAACACTGTTTGAAGAAAAAAGTAGATAAAAAAATCCTTTTGACATTTTTATCCAGTGAAACTGCTGGCGTACGTAAAATGATACCCTGAATCCAAAAATAAAAAAATATACAGGGGGTTCCATTTGAAAATCGAAAGTTGGACCGGTATTGATGGAATAACATTTTTTTCGTCAATATGGTATAGTTGCTACCCACCAAATTTCAAATTTTGATCTCGAATGATCCAGAAGTTACAGCTCTGGTCGTTGTTTGTGCACACCTTTGTATACATCAATCCTACTTAATTGCCCCTATGCACCATATGGGTGCTATGTTAGTCTTCTCATGAATCACCCCTCTTTTATTTAAATTTTGTTTCAACTCGTTAACATGTGATGGGAGTATCTCGGGAACAACGTTAACAAAAAATCGTTTTGCCAAAGCTTTTACTCAACTTAAGTGGTGGCACAGGTAGGGGTTTGAGATCTATTATTCAATTGGTATCGGATGGCATAATTCTTATCTTGTTTTCAAATCGCGACATTCAGTGTAAATACCCGCACAGGAATGTGTCATTTTTCAATAATTTTGCTCAAGATAGTGATTAGCACAGGTCCCGTTCGATAAAATACAATGTTTTTTCGTGCAGCTGGGACATATTATTATGTCATTTCGTTACCAGATGACGGTCGAAATTTGCAGCCGGCTCCTGGAAGATTTTTATTTTCATTTCACTTGTTTCATGACCATGCTTTGTCGATTAGAATATCCCAAATTGAATGGAACATGTACAAATCTTTATTGGTATTTTTTCTATCATTTATTAATTAGTAGATTCGTGAATGAACTGATAGCAACAACTAATTTTTATTTATTTTTTTGTAAAGTCACTAACATTTTACAACATATGTATAAGCCATGTAGGAAATGCAACAAAGATTTTGCAGATGGTGCTATTAGCCATTTATTCACAAATGCCGAGAATGTTGATTACTTGCTTTGGACTACCGTGAGTTGGTTAACTGGACAAAAAAAAAGATTTTTTTGGGAAAGATAAATATAAGTTCACTCAGATATGGTGAGTTGATTGCCGAAATGCATATCGTTTGTGAAAAAAATATCATATTATCGATTTGATGACATGATTTATTATTGTTGTTTCTCTAGAACATTATGCACATATTCATTATTGTTGTTGGTCTACAACATTGTGCAAATAAACTTCGTTTTTAATGGGTTCCACATACAAATATGGTTTAACAGAAATGATCAGTTGTGAGTAATATTTTCCGAAAATGAAAATGATAATTGGTGAAGTAATTTTTTTATTAGTTCCTCCACATTAGTGATCCCCTCGAGAGAAAAATATTTTGTTACGCGAAAATAAAAAATAATGCTTTGAAGGAATATGGATATGCGGTTTTCATCTTTGGGTTATTAGTTTTCTTTTATCTTGTTCAACAACAATATTCTTCCTTTTAAAATGTCTAATTCTCTGTTTCAGGTAGAAGATCCTGTAGTGGAACAACATACTAAGGGTCGAGGTGGCTATGTTTTAATTTCAGCTGATTTTGGGGGTTGTATCAAAGTATTTATAAATAAGACAAAGCCAAAGCATAGTTCTTTACCCGTGTCAGCATTGGCATGAATTATTCTATTCTTCACTTAATTAATTTGCTTGCCGTGATAACTCCATTATATTTTGACTGGCTAACATTTTTGAAGTCATTCATTTATTGAATTTATTTGTAATATATATTTTATCTATGTTAAAAGCTGTTTCAATTGATGTAACAACATCAGATTCAGACAATCAGCTACTATTTCTCGCTGATAAATTATCAGATAAATGTAGAATAGAACATTCTCTTCCTCCCAGAAATAGTGCGAATATTGAATGAAGGCTTACATGGTCTGTAATTCCACTAGTTCTAGAACTCCGGGTGTTGATGTCTATCTCAAAATTCACTGGATTTTACCGGATAGACCCAAAGGCTTGTATTTTTTTTCCAATATCTGCAGAAACTTTTCATCAAAGCCACTTACTCCAAACAACCCTGATAATGGTTTAATAAGTGTCTTGGATTTGACAAGGAGGTATTCAATTTGACCATATTGAGGCTATATTCCGAATTCAACTGACAGTACTGAATCTACTGATTTTTCATTCCGAAATCAAAAAAATCACTGAATGTGACAGATGCTTGTGAGCAGATATACTATTCATTCCGAATATTTCGACTCAACATTCTGCTGAAATTGCTGAGTATCAAAAGGTAGTGTGGCTTCAGTAAACTGTCATTATTTTAGAGGGGGAAGAAATGTAACTTTTATTTCCGTTGTTAATTATATTATTTTCGATATCAGAAAGTAGGTACCCGTTATCGAAATAATAAACGCTGAGAATATAATATAGAGATTATATACAGGGTGGGTCACGGTCGATGGCACCTTAGACGTTTACGGAGAACGGGACATAAGATCATTCTGAAAATTTGGTTACTCAAGTAATTGCTCTTGATCTATCGATCTAAAATATTTTCAGCTCTGCGGCGTTGCCGCTTCTATCGAAAAGTAGCAACAACTTTGTTATTTTAAATGAAACACCCTGTATTATATCGCATTCTCAGATTCTCTCTGAAGAGCTGATTTCATCGATATATCACACTTGGGGTCTAGCGGAAATGATTACAGAGATATAGGGTGTGAAAAATCGACATTTTTCAACTTTAGGAATTTTTTTTGTCGAAACTATTCATTATTGGTCAAAACGGCTCACATGTCTTCATCCCAACTTTTGATCAACTATCTACTGACATTTTATTGAAACAAATACAGGGTGGTGCAGAATTCAGATTCTTGATCACCCGGTATATGTCCCAATTAAATATCAGTAGATAGTTAATCAAAAGTTGAGATAGGGACATGTAAGCCGTTTTGACCAATAATGAATAGTTTCGACAAAAAAAATTCCTTAAGTTGAAAAATGTCGATTTTTCACACCTTATATCTCTGTGATCATATCCGCTAGACCCCAAGTGTGATATATCGATGAAATCAGCTCTTCAGAGAGAATCTGAAGATGCAATAAAATACAGGGTGATCCATTTAAAATAACAAAGTTGTTGCTACTTTTCGATAGAAGCAGCAACGCCGCAGAGCTGAAAATATTTTAGATCGATAGATCAAGAGCAATTACTTGAGTAACCGAATTTTCAGAATGATCTTATGTCCCGTTCTCCGTAAACGTCTAAGGTGCCATCTACCGTGACCCACCCTGTAGAGTATGAAGTAGAAGAGAGGTGACGAAAGAAGAAGCAGCACTCGTAAACCCCCTGTTCAGACTAGAAATTGTCGTTATTTTGGCCTGAATTTGTATTTGTATTTTTATTTATTGTCAAAGTCTAAATTCAATATAAAAAGCAGCTCACTCATCACGAATACAGCGTGTTGCCTAATGGAAATAATAATCAATAACATTCTTCCCTTTCAGTAATGATGCTTCGAATCATTACTCAAACTTCATTAGTAGCCTCTTCTTCCTCTTGAGCTTCGTCTAGTATGCAGATTTCAACGATAGGTCTTTTGTGAACTCCATGTTGCGTTTTAATATCGACATTACTATTTTTCCTAGGATGTACCGATGTGATGACACCCATTGGCCAATTATTTCTGGGAAGATCGTTGTCTGCAATGCCGATTATATCACCAACCTTGCATTCTGCTTTTTCTTGAATCACTTATTGGCCCTTCTTGTCAAAGTCGGCAAATATTCCTTGACCCAGCGTTTCCAAAATGGATTGACAAGCTACTCTGCTCTTCTCCATTGCTTTTTCGAAATCGATTCGCAACCAATGATGAAATTGATTCAGGGTTAAAGCTTCTTCGTCAGAAGGATCCAAGGAAACCAGGGTTAATGGTCGACTGTTCACGATGTGCTCTGCCTGGACTAACGCAGTCAATAAAATCTCTTATATACTTTGGTGCTTGTTTTTTGATAATAGCTTCCATATCTATTTTCACCGATTTAACCAAGCGCTCTCAGCTGCCCCCCATATGAGGACTAACTGGAGCATTGTGTGACCACTTAATGCCTTCCATGCTCAACTCTGATGCAATTTGGTCGTCACAGAGTTCTTTCAGAGCATTTTCAAGTTCTTTCTCAGCTCCTACCAAATTGGTGCCATTATCTGCGTAGATCTCTGGCGGGCATCCTCTTCTTCCAACAAATCGTCGAATCGCCATAATTGCGCTATCTGTAGTTAGTGAATTTGCTAATTCCAAATGGACTGCCCTAACTGTTAAGCATTCAAATAGGATACCATAATTTCTTTCGTGATTTCGACCAACAGTTGCGTAAACAGTAAGAGGACCAAAACAGTCCATACCAGTGCAAGTGAAAGGTCTAACAAATGTTTGCATTCTACAGAGTGGAAGGGGGGGGGGGGGGCATTACTCGGACAAAAGGTTTTGCTCTCATGTTCTTGCATCGTCGACAGGAATTCCAACAACTTCTAACGGCTCTTATCATGTGAATGATCCAATACTTTTGTCGGAGTTCATTGGCAACGTAATCTTGGTCATTATAAACAGCTTGGATATGATAATGCATAATCAACAGTCGAGTATTATAGGATTTAGAGTCTAAGATTACGGGATATTTAGCGTCATAATCAATATCCTCACTATTCTCAGTCCTACCTCTCACTCTGTGTATACCGTTTTCGTCAAAACAAGGTGTTGAATTGTATAACCGACTGAATTGCTTTATTTGTAGGTTCCCTTCATAACATTTATTTCATCTCGGAAACAATGTGATTGAATTTGTTGCAGCCACAAAATTTCTGATTTCTTTATCTTTTCTGTAATTCAGACATGATTTTATCAGTATATTCTTCCAAAATGACTTTTTTCACTTCAATGATACGCAGTACTCATGCTGTCGATCTAATTCATTCATACCCTGATAGCACACAAAGTCTTAGGGACGTCTTTATTTGGTACAATTCAAGTCCGAATGTCCCGGTCCAAAAATAAGTGTCCTTTGGACGTCCCATCCCCATGTCCGAGCAAGAACGTCCACGGAATGTTCCTAGAAATAGCATCCCTCAGACGTCTCACGTGGTACATATTGTAAAATGTCCGTGCAAGGACGTCCTTGGCATGTCCCTGATGGGATATGATTTTAAACGTTCCTTTAGGGACATCCATCGGATGTTCTGAATATGGCATGACTTCAGATGCCCCTTATTATAGATAACCATAAAATGTCCCTGATGGTACATTCCTTCGAACATCTCTGCACAGACGCCCTTGATATTTCCAGGATCGTATAACAATCAAAATGTCCCTTAGGGACATCCTTCGAATCTCCCTTATAGATATCCGTCGGATGTCCCAATCGGTACATGAACTGTACTCTTTCAATGTCCTAGAAATAACGTCCTACGGACGTCCCAGTCGGTACTTTCAATATGTTTTCCCTGCGAGGACGTTAACTTACACCTCGCCGACGAATGATTGCTCGTAGGCTATAAATACTCCCCGTCAATGTCCTTCACGTAAGTCCATTGGAAATCCTTGGGAAACTTTTTCGGGATTTTCAACTCAACTCAACTGGATGTCCTCATCAGTTATGCAAGATCTGGTCCTAGAGGGACCCAGAAAAATTCAAATTCAAGAATAATTCGTACGTCCCTGGGATGGATGTACTGAGGATCTCCTCCGCAGTGCTTGATGAGGAATACTGTAGGAATTAGGTATTCGATAGTTGTCCCAGGGACATCCCTCAAGGACGTCCCTTCAATTGGTCCCCAAGTGTGGAGGAAAAATAAATCTTTTGAAAATAAAAAACTTCCTTCTTTTTTGTCTCGGTCAGTTGTGCGTATGTGTTTCCATATGGGCTCGTCTGCCCGAGTTCAGTGTCCTCTGTGTGACACTTTCTTATTTTCGTGCTTGGGAGATAATGTTGTCTAGATTCTGTCCAGTGTCTCGGACTTGTCTGAGGAGCCAGAGAGATTCCCGCCTATAGATCATCTGGTGCTCTAAACACGTCGGTTGGTACATATATCAGCCCGTGTTTTTTATGTATGTTGTGGTGTTGTCTGAGTGTTGTGATATCCCGGGTAAGGTCACTTCCAGCGATGTGGTATTTGAAGAATTTATTCGCTAATTGCAAGATGTACTCACCAATTCTAGGCAAATTACCACATCTCTCGTGGAGATCTGCCAGTCGAGAGTTTCTATCACCGTTGGTGATAATACGAAGTACTTTGTTCTGCAGCACCTGTACCCTATTCATATGAGTAGGTGGGATACACTGGACACGCGTATGTCATTATAGGTCTGATAATCTGCTTGTATACCAGGACCTTATTTTCTAATGAAAGAGGGAAGGTCCTGGATAACAAGGGATACATCTTCTTTATCGCAGCTTGTGTTTTTTTGGTCAGATAGTTTGTGTTTTTCCTGAATGACATATGGGTGGCATGGCCCTACAGCTGACAGCGTTCACATTGAGTAACTGCCCGATTGTTCCTCCTCAGCTCTCAAGTGATCCTGACTGACAGTAATGTCCTCACTCTATCACTTAGCAGCCGAAGAGTAACAATCGGGTCTACTACGACCAGGTAAAGAGGCTAATACCGTGTGTTGAGCCTGTAGACCTCTTTGACCTTGATTTTATGTTCGCTCTCCATTTCTTCAATGATCTCGGAGGGCTCATGCTTAAAGTCCAGGTCTCTCAGCACAAATGCGTGTGTTCTATCCTT